GACATTGCTGGTCATCATCTTCCATGTTCCAAAATCACCGTTCAATGAAATCAGACCATTCCTGTACAGCCACGGGGCTTGCTGGCGCCTATGTTTCATAGTTAGTGTTTCGATGCTTTCTGAACTTAGACAATTGATCGTCGGAGGTGATCATGCCCTTAATTGATCATAATCCCAATTTCCCGTGAGATTTTCCACCACTTATATATATATATATATACCTTAGAGGCCCTAGCAAAGGCTCGGCAGAAGTGCCACATGCCGGAGACGGTGTTTCTTCAAGCTGGCGATGGAAGATGCCATGAACGTGAGATCATCCACGATAGGTGCTTTTCATAGGCTGCCTGCACACTCCCAGGCTGGGCAACACGAGATGTTCACCCGTTTTCCTGGCACCTACGATCATCCCACTGTATTTCCTGATCATCAGAGGCCTACCTACCTCACAACAGTATAGCCTTGAAGAACCAAAGTATAGCTGGTTTGTGTTGGTGGCCTCACTGCTATGCTCACAAGTGTTTCTTCATGCCAGACTGTTGATGTTTGGCCTTTTTTGAAGTCCAACCCTTGCCGAACCTCATCCCCTCACCATGGCAGCACCGAACCGCACGTCCCGAGGTCCGACCGAACCGAGCCACCAAGCACTTGCCCAAAGGATGCCACGGTACCGGCCCGACCCGCCCGATCTCTTCACCGTAACAGCCAGGTTGAGGTCGATCCATAGGGGGGACTGAACAGAACACCCCCGCAACAACCGGACGCCCGTTGGCAACGCCGCGACCACCGCCAGGAAGCCGGCGTCGCGCGCCTGGGCCGATCTCTTTGACTCCGACGACGAGCGCGCCTAGAGGCGGGGGTGGGCTTTCTTCCGCATGGGGCGGTGGCTTCCGCGGGCGGGGGGCGGAGGGGAGTTGGTTTTGTTGCAAAGATTGGGAAGGAGAGAAGGTTAAACTTCGGTGGGTTGGCTGGTGGCGAAGTTGTGGTAGAGTCTGGGCCAAGCCTGGCTGGATATTCACCGTGGGATACCGTGGCTGTGTGGTTGAGTGGAAGCCTGGCTCAAAGTGGATTGAAGTTGAGGCGATGGGTTTTGTTGGGGAGATTGAGGTGAGAGCTTTATTGATTTGGCTTATGATGGCTTATGTATGAATGTAATTGAATATATATGATTATATATATTATATATACTTATATATTGTATATTCCGCAAGGGGGTATGTTGGCATCGTGCTACGGAACTACCCATGGCCCTCCAAAACGACCGCCAAACGGTGCAAGCCAAGAGATTTCGTGGCATGTTTTTCGTGGCTTCGCTTGACCCAGCTTTGTCGGAACCCCAGAACCATCCAGTTACCAGTTGACTTCACCAGGTGGGTTGCCACAGTGCTTCAAAAAAACCCTTGACCGAGACCGAGACCGGACCGCCCTCGGCCCTAGGGATCTTTCCAAAGGCTCTAGGGCCTAGAGGGATTCCAACCAACCAATCACCTAAGGATCCGATACCACGTCCCAATGTTCTTAGATGGTCGGACCCCCAACCTGACCCCCAACGTCCATTAGGGGCCCTAGTCATGGACACGCGAAATCATGGCTATGCTGGTATGATAGCAGATTTTTTGGCCAAAGATGGCCAAATCATTTGCAAGAATCCGACAAAAAGACAAATCAGACACAAAGAAGCTGGACGGTGTCCAGCTGCCTCAGGGGCCGACGGCCATCACCCAGCCGTGGCGAGGAGTGGCATTGAGGTGGCTCAGCGGAGAGGTGGAGGGTGGGTGGAGAGAGACGGTAGACTCGGTTGATTACAGCGGTTTCAGATGGTTTTGTATAGCACTGGCACCCCAAGATGCGTTCAAAAGGCATTTAAAGATTATAGGGGTCCATATCAAGCACTGTAAAGCGCTTTTGGGGATTGTGCCATCTACTCTGAAATGTAAGTAAAACCTGCACCTGCCAGAGGCAATCTTCCGAACCAAACACTGGTTAGACGTCGAGCTAGTGCAGCTAGTGTGCAGAGTTTGGAACATTTTTTAGGCAGAGTGGGTCAGTGAAGCAACTTGAAGTTCTTCCGTTGGAAGGGGGATCCACCAGAATTCCATGGGAGTTCCACCCGAATTCCCAGGTCGACGACGAACGGGGATGGAAAACGCTTGCTCCGTACCTTGGGAGTCCTTCCAGCTCACCCGCCACAGGAATCGAAGGAGTCTGAAAGGGGCGATCGTGACCCCAACAAATCGATTCTTAAGTGCGATTTCTGGAGATTCCAAGAGAGGTTGAAGACCCCGACCTAGACTATCCCATAGGTACCCCAGGTTACGGGTCCCATTTACGGTCACTTAACTTCTCTTGGTTGGTTTTCAACGAACATGCATGTACCCGGTCATGTACCGGATCCACTGCCACTTTGGAACGCACTTCTGGGCCCGACCCAGCCAGGCGCCTAAGATAGATAGGATGTGGATCGACACCGTACCTCAGGTTCGGTATGTGGATCGACACTTCGAAACTTAGCGTTTCTGTTCATCGCCCCTCCGGGGTTGGAATCAATGTCGCTTCCTGGATTTCCCCAAAAACTGCAGAGTACCCAGACACTCCATGGGACTGCCATATATATATATATGCCTAGGGGTGGTTTTGGGAGAAAACTGCACTCACATATCAGACATGTTGGTCATTGAAAAGTCTTTGAACGGATTTATTTGCAAAACTCAGTAGGGAGCCATTTCCGAACCCCACCAAAACGGGACGTAGCATGAACTCAAAGCTGATTGACATTGATTGACATGTCAGTTGTGCTCAATGTGCCATCGAGAAAGTTTAAACTACAGCAACTACGTTTAGATGGACACACACCCAGTCCCTGCACCATTTTAGATGGAACTCTTCAGCATCATATGCAGGATGATCTTTGCCATCAACCAATCAACTCTGTCGCTTAACAGGTCTTTCTGAAACAACAACACTAGACTTCATGTTCCGCCGCTGATTTCCGGGCGGTCCATACCTCTGCCGCGCTCAGGAACCCCTGAAAATGCCTTGCGGGGCGAAGTGCCACGATGTGCCTCACAGTTAACACCCCC